AGCCAGATACAGTACACCCACTCAAGCCAGATACAGTACACCCACTCAAGCCAGATACAGTACACCCACTCAAGCCAGATACAGTACACCCACTCAAGCCAGATACAGTACACCCACTCAAGCCAGATACAGTACACCCACTCAAGCCAGATACAGTACACCCACTCAAGCCAGATACAGTACACCCACCCAAGCCAGATACACCCATTCTGTATTGCAAATATAATACTTGGGTTAATTTTGACATGCCTTAAATATCCCTGGTATAGTCAGGTGTGTACATATGTGTAGCGCCCCTTAACCGGCCATCTCGTGTGGACTGAGGCATTCCTGCTACGAACAGTCCAATTTTCAGGAAAAATAATTTATATTGTTTTATACGAGAAATGTGACTGCATACAAATTAGACATTCAAAGAAGTATTAAAATGTATGAAAAGGTTGTAGAATATAGCGGGTAATAATTAGAAGCCATGGACACTAATGAAAGGTGAGTAAACAAACTAAGAAAGAGCAGTGAACGAGTGTTGGGATGTCAACCAAGAAGAATGAGGCTGTTTATCTTGAATTGGCGGAGCGCATGTGCGCGGGTCCACCTGCTGCCTGACGTTGACTGAGCCGTACTGTGGAGGCGTTGACTTCCTCACAACACCTCTCCTCCGCTGGCAAGTAGTGCGCGCTCTTTTCCATTGTATAGCGTGTTCTCTTCCATTGTATAGCGTGTTCTCTTCCATTGTATAGCGTGTTCTCTTCCATTGTATAGCGTGTTCTCTTCCATTGTATAGCGTGTTCTCTTCCATTGTATAGCGTGTTCTCTTCCATTGTATAACATGTTCTCTTCCATTGTATAGTGTGTTCTCTTCCATTGTATAGCGTGTTCTCTTCCATTGTATAGCGTGCTCTCTTCCACTGTATAGCGTGTTCTCTAGGTCTAATACAAGATATCTAGGCCTAACATAGTACATAAGTGTACTATATATACTAGTATATGAACATAGTACATATACTAGGCCAAGGAATAATTAAGTTTGTTTTAGCTTTATTTATTTTAAAAGAATAAAAAATTAAGATAGGTTGGACTAATTGAGATCAAATGCATGAAATGAACTGAAACAGGTGAAAAAATGGCAACAATTACAAGTTGAATGGAACAGCAGAAATTGCAACAGAACAGCAGAAGTAATTTTAACTAAATAAACAGATGGACTACAATTGTCTAAAAGTTTATATATGGCAGATATCACTATTTATACAAGTTGGTCGATAAACTATATTGTTTGAAAATATCAAGACATGGGTTGACATTTAGGGGTAAGGTAGGTTACATGAAGTTAATTACGTAGTACTTAGTTTTTCTCTTAAACTGGTTAGGAGAGGTACAATCTTCGACATGATTGGGAACGTCATTCCACATTCTGGGTCCCTTGATTTACAGAGCATTTCTAGTTTGGTTAAGGCTCATTCTTGGAATATCAAATAGGTATTTGTTTCTGGTGTGGTGCTCATGGGTTCTATTATAACCTCCTATAGGAAGCGTTTGAGGTCAGGATTGACATTACAGTTCAGAGTTTTAAATATATAGAGTACACATGAGAGGAAGTGCAGTGAGTTAATATCTAACATATTTCGAGATTTGAGTAAGGGTACCGAGTGATGTCTGGGGCCAGAGTTAGATATTGTTCTAATGGCAACTTTGCGTTGAGAAATTAGAAGACGTAAATGATTTTGGGTAGTAGAACCTCAAGCACAAATACTATAATTGAGATAAGGATAGATGAGAGAGTAATAGAGTGTCACCAGGGCAGGGCGAGGTACATAATATCTGATCTTAGAAAGAATGACAACAGTTTTAAAAGATTTTTTTGCTATATTTTAGATTGTGTCCCTGGAAATTCAGCTTGTGGTCAATGAGAACACCAAGGAATTTACCATCTACTTTGTAACTAATTTGGGTATTGTTTATTCTTAGATTAATTTGATCTGAGGATTTCTGATTAATTCTCTACTTGATTATAATACTTTGCTTGACTGTAATACTTTGCTTGACTGTAATACTTTGCTTGACTGTAATACTCTGCATGACTAATACTCTGCTTGACTGTAATAGGTGAAATCTTTGTCCAAAGGGTTATTGATGATTGTAAGGAAAAGCTACTCGTCAGCCCCCTTTTCGGTACAGAGATGACGTATGTGTCGGAGTGCTAGCTGGAGGAGGAGAACATCTACACAGGTTTACTGAATGGTCAGAGAGTGTGCACATCAACCTGTCCTGTACCCTGGTGAGACAGGCAGGCTTTCTATCTCGACAGTGTACTATGTTTGGACAGGGAGAGAAGGCTACAAACCAAAGTCCTTTACTAAAAAATCGAACCTATACACACATGCCTCTTTCCTTGTTGCAACCTTCGACCTTAAAGTTATCTAATTTAGGAATAAATTTATTTTTTCATTATGTAGTAAAGTTACTGTCAATTATTCTCCTGTGTATTATATATATTTTCCCTTAATTCTTTGTCTTAGATCTTCAATTGCTTTGGATATTACCTGTGATCTGATGAGCATTTTTATGAGTAAATATTTCCTCTTGTAATTCATGAATGCAGAAGGAATTTCCTTCACCCGGTAAGTATTAAAAGATCAAAGTCTCTACACACTCGGTATTAGTTGACTGGTCTCCTTCCGAGTCAATTAGCTTAATTATCTAAGTTCCAGAAGGAGTCGTGGCGGCATTATTTGTTTATGGGTAACCTGACCTCCCATCTGGGCTGTAAGAATTGTCAAGATATCGTTAACATCTTGGTCATTTCTCCCCACCTTTCCCTGATAACTGCACGAGCTTTTTCTGTTGCAAGGGCGGACTCTTCCAGTTGTTTGGGGTTATATCACAGCAATTATTACAGCCTAAAGGGTTACAAGCCAGATACAGTACACCCACTGTATATATATAGCAATAGTTGCTATAAAGTTATAGCAACCATTGCAGCGAGTTATTTATGTTCAGTGCTTTATTGCAGACGTGTTACAATGGCAGCTGCAGTGTTTGATTTAGTTGATGTTATTAATTTTGTCCAATTACTTGATTAATGGTTATTAATGGATTTATAAAAAATGTAATATATGCATTGTTAACAATAAACCGTACCGTACGTAATAATTAAAAATATATATTTATTATGATTTATAACTTTGTTATTATTAATTTAATATCAAGGCAAAGCAACTGTTTTTCACTCCAAAATGTATTGAGCAATTATAGCATAAAGATAACTGCAGAATCCTTGAAGAGTGACACTCTTGTGACACAGGAGCTGTTGGTCGGGTCACTGGTTCAACCAATCTGCCAGAGTCGTTGTTGATGAAGTTATGTCTGGTTAGGTTGAGTTAGGCTACAAATATTGTTGCCCAAAGCGCTGTACGCATTCGTGGCTTTAGGCGTTGTATGTACTAACTCTTTCTAGAAATACAACATTATGTTTGTAACTCATCTTGTATGTATGTACTTTTACCTGAATAAACATTTGATTTGATTTGGCTAGGTTAGGTTATATTGAGTTTGGTTAGGTTTCGTTAGGAGTGTTTGGAATAAGATGGAATAGGTTTGGTTAGGTTCAGATATGTGAAACACCTTGTGGAGTTGAAAAATGTTCAAACCCTCTAAAGGTACATTAGTACTCTTAATATTATAAATAAATTATTTCTCACTAAATCAATGTAATATTGCGTGTTAATAACTTGATATAACAATTTTTTTGTTAATAACTTGAGTCCATTTTGTTATACAAAAATATGTTATATCATCTGAAGTGAGCACTACACAATGGCCTCAAATTCCACACGAGACACAGACCCCCAAGATCTCCGTAATGTCTATGAAACATGAACGGAATCTTGAGTTATCAAATAGGTCCCTTAAAAGTGTCATTAGACGAGAACTCCTGGATGAATTTGAAGAAAGTAGAACAATGCAAACTGGAACTAGCAGGTCCTTTGTTTATCACAATGAAATGTGTGAAGTAAAACATGTGTATGGGGCAAGTAACAACATTAACAGACTAACAGACATTGTCACAGCTCGTATAAGACTTGGCTACAAGTATCTCTGGCAGTTCGGCTTGTATAGGGATCTAGATGAAGTAAAGTGTAAAGTGTGTGGACAAAAACAGGAACACACACTCGAACACTATAACACTATATTGTAGTAAAATTAAGCCATTTAGAGATAAATCTAAGCTCACGCTGTATGATATGGCAACCTATCTTATTACCAAGGATAAAATACTGGAAATCCTTGCACTGTATCCATATTTCGCTTCCAGTAGATAAACGACATATGAGATTAAGAAACAAGTAGTGAATTGTGAGGACTAATAATAAACAGAAGCTCCCCTATGACTGTAATATCTCCATTGCTCAAACAATTATGTATTAGCGATAAGACCTACCATTAATGTATAATGATTTACTGTAAATATATAGCTCCTGAAATAGAACATTCTCTGTAACTAGCTGACATTGTAATTATAAGGTGTGAAGGATAGATGAAATTGTTTAATCTCCGTTGAGGTCTGATAAAGACCTTTTGTGCCCTCTGTAATGCTTTTTTGCGCTACCGCTCACAGGATGAGTATGGGGTGCACAATAAACTAGCCGCCTCTGGCGGCAACAATAAAAAAAAATAGAAAATCTATGACACAGCACGGACCACAAGCAGTATACAAATCTGATGAGAAAGAAAGAGAGAGAAACATATACCGAGACATTTTGGGGTATAGGAGCGCCTAGGCTATAATGGAACAACAGTGGCTACTTACTATAGCTGGCGGCGGCCTTCATCCAGACGGGTGACCATGCCTCCGTGACGCCAACTTCACACATCCACGCAAAAACCACAAACTTGTACTCACTGACTTTAGTGTTCAAAAGAGCTACACAAATTGCCCTGCACTTGCACACTTAACAGTGCAACTACCGGTACTTTCCAAGGTACCCGAAGCTACGAACCTTTTTTTACCATCGCTAAGAAATACACAGATTTTTGACAACTATTTCATGCTGAAATCACGACACAGTCGAGAGTTTTCGACGCGCGGATGAACTGTTGATTACAACGTCACTGACACGGAGCCACGGGTCAGACAGGCAGGCACGCACCAGTCACGACCACGAGAGAGGCGGGCCAGAGACAGTCACGTACACAAGGGAGGCAGACAGTCATGACTTGCGTCCACTAGTCACGGACGCGAGAGTGGGAGGCCACCGGCAGTCACGGACACCAGAAAGACAGGTCACCGGAAGACACGGAGGGTGAGAGTAGGTGCGTGACCACGAGAGCACAGAGAGGCGCCAGCAGCCACCACACACCCGCGCCCTGCCTCGCCTGCCACAGCACTGTGTGTCGGTGCCAACCTGCCCGCCTCCCACCCTTCTCCCACACCTGCCCTCCCACCCTCCCACACCTGCCCTCCCACCCTCCCACCCTTCTCCCACACCTGCCCTCCCACCCTCCCACACCTGTCCTGCCACCCTCCCACACCTGCCCTGCCACCCTCCCACACCTGCCCTCCCACCCTCCCACACCTGCCCTGCCACCCTCCCACACCTGCCCTGCATCCCTCCCACACCTGCCCTGCATCCCTCCCACACCTGCCCTGCATCCCTCCCACACCTGCCCTGCCACCCACAACACTAACACTGCCTGCACCACAACACTAACACTGTGGTGTTAGTTCACGACTAACGACTAAATAACAAACTGTTCACGACTTTTGTTAGGCCAAAGCTAGAATATGCAGCGGTTGTGTGGTGCCCATATCTTAAGAAGCACATCAACAAACTGGAAAAGGTGCAAAGACATGCCACTAAGTGGCTCCCAGAACTGAAGGGCAAGAGCTACGAGGAGAGGTTAGAGGCATTAAATATGCCAAAACTAGAAGACAGAAGAAAAAGAGGTGATATGACCACTACATACAAAATAGTAACAGGAATTGATAAAATCGATAGGGAAGATTTCCTGAGACCTGGAACTTTAAGAACAAGAGGTCATAGATTTAAAGTAGCTAAACACAGATGCCGAAGAAATATAAGAAAATTCACTTTCGCAAACAGAGTGGTAGACGGTTGGAACAAGTTAGGTGAGAAGGTGGTGGAGGCCAAGACCGTCAGTAGTTTCAAAGCGTTATATGACAAAGCGTGCTGGGAAGACGGGACACCAGAGCGGCTGTAACTACACTTAGGTAATTACTGCCTGCACCACAACACTAACACTGCATTGGATATAAGAAAGCGAGCTTCAAGGTAATGTACTCAAACATTGATGGGATTACCAATAAAGCAAGTGAACTGGCAGAAAGGGTGCAAGAAGAAAACCCTGATGTAATAGGACTCATGGAAACAAAATTGTCAGGAGTCATAACAGATGCTGTGTTTCCAAAGGACTACTATATAGTAAGGAAAGAGAGAGAAGGGAGAGGAGGTGGAGGAGTGGCCCTGCTGATAAGGAAGGACTGGAGTTTTGATGAGATGGAAATTCCGGACTGTGACGGGTTCAGAGATTACATAACAGGAACTATATCAATGGGTAGATCTAGACCTGTGGCAGTCATTTACAACCCTCCCCTAAATGACAGAAGACCTAGACAGGAGTTTGATAGGAACAACATGGCAACCAATAATATAATAGAGAGCAGCTTCAGTTACCTGCAGGAATGGCTCCAGACTCTTAATCATGATCGATTTTAACCATGGAAAGATAGACTGAGAGAATGGGGACCCACATGGTGGTACAGATATGTGGAGAGCTAAACTCTTGGAAGTGGCAACAAGGAACTTTCTGACCCAGCATGTCAAGGAACCCACAAGAGTGAGAGGCAATGATGAACCAGCTAGACTCGACTTGATATTCACCCTGAAGGAGTCAGAAATAAGGGAAGTCAAAGTTGAAGCCCCCATAGGAATGAGTGACCACAGTGTACTGATTTTTGAGTACTTGGTGGAGGTAGGGATAACCTATCCAAGGATGGAATCGGAGGGAAAAAGACTAAATTGTGTAAGGAATCGTTCAGGACCCTGTATACCACTTATGTCAGACCAATCTTGGAATATGCAGCGCCAGCCTGGAGTCCATACCTAGTTAAACACAAGACAAAGTTAGAGAAGATCCAGCGGTATGCCATCAGGCTCGTCCCGGAACTGAGAGGAATGAGCTACGAGGAAAGGCTAAAAGAGCTGAACCTCACGTCCCTGGAAAACAGAAGAGTAAGGGGAGACATGATAACCACCTACAAAATTCTCAGGGGAATTGACAGGGTGGACAAAGACAAGCTCTTCAGCACGGGTGGGACACGAACAAGGGGACACAGGTGGAAACTTAGTACCCAGATGAGCCACAGAGACGTTAGAAAGAATTTTTTCAGTGTCAGAGTAGTTAATAAATGGAATGCACTAGGAAGTGATGTGGTGGAGGCTGACTCCATACACAGTTTCAAATGTAGATATGATAGAGCCCAGTAGGCTCAGGAATCTGTACACCAGTTGATTGACAGTTGAGAGGCGGGACCAAAGAGACAAAGCTCAACCCCCGCAAGCACAATTAGGTGAGTACCACAACACTAACACTGCCTGCACCACAACACTAACACTGCCTGCACCACAACACTAACACTGCCTGCACCACAACACTAACACTGCCTGCACCACAACACGTCTCTTCTTCTTGCTAGTAGATGCAGTGTGCATGACGGGCGTATCCTCTCGATGACTGCACCAGGACAGATGTTAGGAGACACGCGAATGTGGAGAATGAAAAGGGTAAAAAGTCGCGAGGAGCCGTAGACAGAGGAGCGGCGACGAAAACAGAGGTGGACTGGAGAGGGAGACAAGCCGCACCGGAGGGCGGCACGTTGTGTCCATGACGTCGACTAATATTTACCAGGGAACTCCCGCATTTTAAAGTGCAAACAGTACACTTCCCACAGCAGTATGCGGGCAGAAGACGCCTGGCCACCAGGCGGCAGCATCCTATCCGGGACCCCATAGAAATTCCTTCACCTGCGGCACCCAGATAGTGGAAGAGCACCACAGGATCGGAAGCACCCAGGCATCCCGAGAAAAGTCCAACACCCGACTCTCACGGGTCGCGACCTCGGCAGTCTGGACTAGGTTCCCCTCCCCCCCAAGTCCGGAACAACGAAGGAGGGAGATCCGCATGGGACGCAGGCACGACATTGTCCTCGCCACTGGGCACTGGAGTCGAGGCCCCTCGGAGCACATCTTTCTTCAGCACCACGACAAGGTCCCAATCATCGGGGCATCCCGCCACCCCAGGGATCCAACAGCAGGAGTCGCAGGGGGCCACATAAAGCAACTCGGAGCCCCTCACAGCCTCGCCACCGACGACGGGGGACGCTGGAGCACCATACTCCCCCACCTCCTTCCAAAACCCACCATAGAGGGGAGACACACTCCGAGCCCGCCACGATCGCTTCGAGACAGGCTGCACCACACCAGTCCTACCAGGCCCCTCCGCAGCTTGAGACAACAGTTGAAGGACAGTTGGCAGCCTTGCAAGCACAGGTAGCAGAAATGGCCGAAATTATAGAGACGCTACGTCGGGCTCCTTCGCAAGAGATACACCAGCCTCCACACTCCTGTGTCACAGCCGTGGCCCGCGCTGGTAAAGGTACCTGCGGTGGTGGTGACGGCGGCAGCAGCGACGGCAGAGATGAGAGCGACAACGGAGGCGGTGGTGGTGACGGCGGCAGAGATGAGAGCGACAACGGAGGCGGTGGCGGCGACGTCGTCAGTCAACTCAGTGACGACAGCAGTGTTAGTGACATGAGAACATTAACTGGAAAAGGAAGTCGAAACGTACCAGGATATTTCAACATGATTAACGAACTTAACGAACGTGTTCGAGTTCAGTACCAGAGTGAAAATGATAATAATCTGCGTGACAGTGCTTATGCCATGAAACTTAGAGAATATTCACTCGTGGATCATTCCGAGTTGTTCAGTGATCAAGAGACTGATGACATCACCAGGTGTTACTAACGACACCAAACGCCAGGTTGGTGCGGCTCTTTACGTTGTACAGTCACTTATTGACACATTGTGGAAGTGGGACCTACCTTGAGGTGCTTCCGGGGCTTAGCGTCCCCGCGGCCCGGTCGTCGACCAGGCCTCCGAGGACAACAATGGGACTAGGACAACAATGGGACCACCAGTCCCAGGGAGGAACAACACCAAGACGATGGCTGCTGCTGACACAAGGACCATTAGGTTTCTCAGTTGGAACATTCGTAGCATCAACAAAAGACTGAATGATCTAATTGCACATGTTACCAGTAACAACATAGATATACAGGAGCCCTACACGTCCAACATGATAAACAAAACTCCACCAAAGATCAGAGGGTATGCATCATATACTAACAGTAACGTCACAGGCCTATTAACTTACGTCAGAAGTGATTTACCGCACATTCTTGTGAGCACGTCACACAATGTACACACACAGTACCATCACTTTCATGTACAAACTACAGCAGGCCACTTCTCATTCCTCAACGTATATGCCAGAAGCCAGAAACTCAATGTAACATTGCTCCCAGATCTAGACAATCATGGGACAATATACATGGGATATTTTAATGCTAGACATATTACGCTGGGAGACAGTACTAACAACGATAATGGATGCAAATTTAATCAAATATGTTTGTGACAACAGATTAACTGTGTATACTTCGGATACCCAAACTCATTTATTGGGAGGCAGACTTGATTATGTAATGGGTAGAAACCTTGTGCAGGATAATATGGAATGTTCTTTGGTAAATCACTTGGTTAGTGATCACTATGCAGTTTCTGCTTCCTATGAGGTACAGTGTGATGTACCTAATAGACATCAGAGACGGAAAATGGATATTCCATATGGTTTGCATAACCACGTTATTATTTGTATGTCAAAATGGTATCAAGATTACACAATAACGAATGTACAAGCCTTCTCCAGAGATCTCGTTGATACGATTACCACCTACTACGACACCCCGTTGTGTTGGGGAACAAGTTTTTTATTTTTTTTATTTTTTTTATTTTTACATGCAAGCATGCGTATAATGTACAATAAAAACAGAACAAATATAACAAAGAACAAAAGTACAAAGCACACACACGTACAATGACAAAGGAACAAATCAAGAGAAGACCAGCCAGAAGGGCTGACCACAAAACAAAAATGCATATACAAACAACACAAATATAAACACAGCGCAATACAAACATAAGGGAAACAGAGGCGAGAAACATACAAAACAAGTCCGCTAACACCTCACACACATAACAAAGAGCACACCCCAACAGCCTGAAGGGCACACAATATGAC